GTCGGATGCTTAACCGACTGCGCCAACCAGGCGCCCCAAGATTTTCATTTTTAAGAAGGACTTTTCTCCGTCCTTAAGAACCCACTGTGTAGACCACCACTTACAAGACTAAGCTGGCTTATTGGACTTCACATCCACCGAACTGCTGCAAATAAAGACTGTGTGAAGCCAAAGGACGTTGTTGAAAGGGGCACAAAATCCCAGGTTCCTTTGCCATGCTTATCCCCTCCCTAAACTCACTTCTATCTCCCAGGGCTTCCTTCATCATTCTGTGGTAGAGTGAAAAAGTATGTGGGTTTTGGGAAAAATTCAAATCCTGTCTGCCTCTGACTGGCTTTGTGACCTTGAGCAAGGTCCTTCTCTAAATCTTTCTCTACCGTTCTGTACAATTTCTATAATTGTAAAAATCATCACATTAGTACATACACTGTGGGGAGTGGCTATTATTAATCGAATCTACTGTATTCACCTCTCAAGTCAGATATGCTCAGTTTCCTGGCTATAGTCTTTTATTTTTTTACTTGAGATATAGCTGACACACAATGTTATGTTAGTTTCAGGTGCACACCATTGTGCCTCAACAAGTCTATCCCTTATGCTCGCCGCAAGTGTATTCCTAGCTACACTCCTAAGAAAGCTTGAGCTGGAAGAAACGTGGGCACCACCTGGTTCTGGAAGGAGCAGGAGGCTTAGAACCTGTCTGGTTTTGAGATTAAGCCATAGACCTAATTTAAGGAAAACAAATTTTTTATTATTTTTAAATTTGTTTTAGAGAGAGAGAAAGAGTGCCGAGCAGGGGTAGAGGGAGAGAAAGAGAGAATCCCAAGCAGGCTCCACCCTCAGCACAGAGCTCGACTCAGGGCTCGATTCCATGACCCTGGGATCATGACCTGAGCCGAAATCAAGAGTCAGATACTTAGCCAACTGAGCCACCCAGGTGCCCTGAGAATAAGAAATTATTAGAGAACTGCTTCTGATGTTCCCTCTGAAGTATGCACAGATCTGAGTGGGTCAAATGGTAGCATTCTCTCACTGATATTCTATTATTTAACGAAGTAGGACGTGAGATAAAGTTATTTTCACTTTGAAAGAAAAGTAAACGTAGCCTGGAAATGTTTTTATTTTCCCTTAATTTTCCCCATTGAGAAAAGGCTGCCATCTACCCTTGATCTCACACAAGCCTTATTTCACAGATGAACTGAGCAGTCTCAAAGGGGTGAGCCTCCTTCGAACGCAGGGCCTGCCCCAGGAACCCAAAGGCAGTCTTTTACGATCCGGGCTGGAGCAGAGGCTTTAGGTGGCAGGCTTTTCCCAGAGTGGCACAGTGATTAGGTCAGTGGCTCTGGAGCCAGACTGCCTGGGTTCATGTCCTGGTGCTGTCTTTGCTGGCACTGTGAGCTTTGGGTCACCCTGATTCTCTATGCCTTGTTTTCCTCACCTGTAAAACGGGACAGTAATACTAATACCTATCTTATAAGACTGGCATACAGATTAAATGAGTTAAGAGAAGTAGAGTTCCTCACACAGCCCCAGGCACACAGTGAACACTGAATAAATGTTAGTCATCATTGCTTTTTTTTTTTTTTTTCTTTTTCCTGGAAATTGGCTGGGCCAAAAATTACAGGGGCAAAAGTGCTTTCTTGCCTTGAAGTTGCTGATGTGGAAGGAAAATCAAAACTCTCCAATGAAGCTGAGCAAGGGGGCCTGGCAAGGTGGTGGCTTAGGAGACAGGCAACCTGGGCTTCTGCCCACAGTGGTACAAAGAGCTCCAGGCCCCCAGGACCTAGCAGATCTTACTGGGAGAGGGACGCTGTGTGCCTAGAAGTTCTAATGGGCTGTGCCTGTCGCCTTTGCCCCCAGAGGCTTATGCCAGATCAATTTCCCCCGCCTGGAGCCTGACTCTGGGTTCAGCCAAGGAAAGCAGAATTTGACCAGGTCTAGCATGCAGTATGACTCACAGGACTGACATGTGGTTTTAATCCGGCCCTCTGAAAATATGCTTATGTATTCCCTTTCACTCTACTCATGGTTTTGTTATGAAAATTATTCAACTGTTCCTTAAAAAATGGAACAGAAACTCCAAATTCAAAATCTCTGCCAGTCTTAACTCACAGCCTGAGTGATGATGAATCAGTGATCAGCCAGTAGGGATCGTTTCGTTTAGAAGAGAGCAGAGGTCGGGGGGCAGAATGGAGGGGTCTTTCACACCTTTAATAATGATTCCGGAACCAGGGCCAAACATGAGTTTTATTAAACGTGCGCATGGGTGCGTGTGCACACACACGCACACGCACACACACACACACACACACACACAATCACATGGCTTCCCTCTGCCTGTTCTCCCACCAAGCAACACTTTACAAATACTTTGTAATTTTATCTGTTTTGATGGAGAGAGGAACCTGTGACCTCTGTCTTCTCTCCACCTCTCCTGCTCAGCATGTTATTCCATCACCCGTGGCAGTTGAGTGGAGGACCAGGGTTTTGTCGTCCTTTTCTGACATCTGGGAGTTGAGAAAAGATGGCTTTGCCTCTGTCTCTGTCAGTTGGTTCCCGTGCAGCAGCCGGTGGGAATCACAGTTGTTAAGCACAGGGGGACGTCAGGGTTCAGAGCGGGGAATTCTGGGAAGTGGTCTGGGGTAGAGAGGGCTAGGGCCCAAAAGTAAATCCTGACAGGATTTTCTCAAAGTAGAACATTCCTTTCTCTGTGACCCTTTAGAAATGAGAAAAAGTCTCCTGCTGGCTGTTACAGTACAAACCGTAATCGAGTCCTTTCCTCTAGTGTCCTTGTTTCTGAAATTGACTCTGTGCAAAGGCCACCAGTTTGTACTGGAATTCTTCAAAAAAGTCCTTCTCAAAAGGTCTCTCTGGTTTCCATCTCACAGAAGGCTCCCTCAATGCCATCTGCCCATCTTATGGAATAAATTTGTTCCTGGGATGTGTTTGTGACCAGGGTGTACTGTCATTATCCTCATCACAGCCTGAGTTGATCTGTAGTGACAGCACTACGCCCTTATTAGTCAAGGGAAAGGCATTGCGCTTCATTACTAAGCTGCCTTGCTGTTATCTGACCAGGGGCACACATGCAGCCCAACAGAAACTACCAAAAAATCTGTATTAGTTAAGTTTTGCTGTGATAATGCTGCATAATGAACAACCTTACAATCTCAATGGCTTACGATATACACCTACAGCTTGGTTCAAGGTCTATGTGTAGTTTAGGCCCAGTGGGTATGGCTGGTTTAGCTCCAGGCACGGGATGGGGTTCAGGTCCCTTCCAGGTGCCTCATCTGGGGCCTATGCCTCTCATACTGGAGGACCAGTTTGCAAGGAGGAAGGTCAAACCACACAAGCACATTCGAAGCATCTATTAGGATGTGGCATATGTGATGTCCACTAATATTCCACTGGCAAAGCAAGTCATGTGGCCAAAGTCAAAGATAGTGGGTGGGGAGGTATACTCTCTTTTCAGTGAAACCATGGCAAGGTGAGGAGGAAGGAAGAATAGTGAAGAAATATCACCAATATCACTGCCTTTGATATTGAAGGGCTATCTTCCACCCTCTATGGAGGCAGTGATAGGGAGTTTGGGGGTGGCTCCTGTCCCCAGCACAGCACTTTCCTGTGGCCTGGGCTCTTTTCTCCTCTCCTGGCTTTCCTTCCCACAGTTGCTGTAGAACCCAAACCCCACTCTTGTCAAAATCTCAGTCTTTTCCTTTTAGTCCCTCCACATATTTCCTTTCTGGCTCCTACCCTTTCTCTCCTCACCTTCCAATATGTTTTTTTTTTTTTTTTTAATGTTTATTTATTTTTGAGAGAGAAAGAGACAGAGAGTGAGTGGGGGAGGAGCAGAGAGAGAGGGAGACACAGAATCCAAAGCAGGGTCCAGGCTCTGAGCTGTCAGCACAGAGCCTGATGTGGGGCTCGAACCCATGAACTGTGAGATCATGACCTTAGCCGAAGTTGGATGCTTAACTGACTGAGTCACCCAGGTGCCCCTTCCAACGTGTTTTTAAGCCAAGCAATTCCTTCCTGTTCCATCCTTGATATCTTTGGATGGACAAAACCTTTCCCATTGCCAAGGTGGTCTCCTCTTAACTTACATTTGTAGTTTTATGATGAAAGAGTTTCTCTTTCAGCCTCTGCCTTGAACTGTGCTCCCAAATATCCCATTTTTTACTCTGACATTACAATATGCCAAGTGCAGGAAAGGGGATGGGTATATTTTTCAGATCCCAGAAAGGTAAAGGGTGTTCGGAGAGTGGAGGCAGAAACATCGATCCCACTACTCATTTAAATGTACTAAGCTGGGGCACCTGGGTGGCTCAGTTGGTTGAGCATCTGACTTCAACTCAGGTCATGATCTCACCGTTCATAGGTTTGAGCCCCACGTCAGGCTCTAAGCTGACAGCTCAGAGCCTAGAGCCTACTTCAGATTCTATGTCTCCCTCTCTCTCTGCCCTTTCCCGCTTGTGGTCTCTCTCTCTCTCAAAAATAAATAAACATTTTTTAAAAATAAATTTAAAAAATAAATGTACCAAGGGCGCTTGTGTGGCTGTCAGTTAAGCGTCCGACTTCAGCTCAGGTCATGATCTCACGGTTTGAGAGTTCGAGCCCCGAGCCCCACGTCGGGCTCTGTGCTGACAGCTGGAGCCTGCAGCCTGCTTTAGATTCTGTGTCTCCCCCTCTCTCTACCCCTCCCACTCTCATGCTGTGTCTCTCTCTGTCTCTCAATAATAAATAAATGTTAAAAAAATAAATAAATAGGGGCGCCTGGGTGGCGCAGTCGGTTGAGTGTCCGACTTCAACCAGGTCACGATCTCACGGTCCGTGAGTTCGAGCCCCGCATCGGGCTCTGGGCTGAAAGCTCAGAGCCTGGAGCCTGTTTCCGATTCTGTGTCTCCCTCTCTCTCTGCCCCTCCCCCATTCATGCTCTGTCTCTCTCTGTCCCAAAAATAAATAAACGTTGAAAAAAAAAATTAAAAAAAAAAAATAAATAAATAAATAAATAAATAAATAAAAATAAATGTACCAAAGCATGTAGTAGACCCTTTACATATTTTGACTCATTTCTTTCTCATGGCCGTCCTTGTAGAGAGGAATTATCTCATTCTCTGACATTTTGTGACTGAGGAAACAGGGCAGAGAGGTTGTATAACTTGCCCATTGTCACACAGCTCAAAAGGGCAGAAACTGATTTAGAACTCAGCTGTGTTTTCCCCAAATCCTCCTGTTTAGCTTCCCCCTTTTTTCAGTCCTCTTCCTCTGTAGCTGTGAGTGGACATGACTGCCAGGCCAGCGGGCATCTTCTCCAAGGAGTAAAGAGTGAGGAATGGAGGTTTGCGGAGGGGAGGAGAAATAGAGCAGCTGTAGAAATAGACAGTGAAGGTCACACCATTCCTCTTTCCAGGCCGCCAGCATCACTGCAGAACAGAAAAGATGGTATGTGTGTGTGTTTTGGATGGGGAGTTTGGGAGCGGGCTCAGCTGGCAAGTACGTAGCAAGGGCATCCGTCGGTTGGGTCCCATCAGCTGACTTTCTAGTATATCTTGCTTCATTCCCCTTTCCCCTTCTCTACCGTACTCTCTGTTATTCAGCTGGATATTTCTCTTCACAGAAAGTTTTTTCAGTTTGATCAAAGCTGCTTTTCTTTTCCCAAAGCTTTACTTGGGTGGCCCTGTGGGGACATCTGCTCATGGCCATTTTGAACTTTCTCTGTGCACAACCGCACAATTGCCAACTTTCCCCAGGTTGTCGGGAGCCAAGTAAGGCCGAGAAGAGGATCAAAACAGTCTGCCTTCTTCAAACATTTTTTAAAAGATGATTTATTTTTCTCTAGCGGTATCCAAAAGTTTAAGAATACAGATTATGAATCCAACATGAAAACATATTTTTCTTTTTAGAAGAGAAAAAAAACCCAAACAGACTTCTTTTTCTCTGCCCATTTCTCTTTTTCGTTTTAATTAAAAATATTGGTATTCTTGCCAGTTGTGGGACCCTGGGCAAATGTTAGCACTCTGGATCTTTCTGTTTTCTCAGCTGTAAATTAGGAATGAAATAATTCCCATGTCCCTCATCTGCATGAGGATTAAAGGAGATAATAACTTATACACGATGAAAAGTTAGTATCAGTAAGAAGTGGGACCCAATGGCTTCATATCTTGGTGTCTCCTCTATAGAAATCCTCATAGTTTCCCCAGAGCTGTATGTCCTGTGTGGTCGGTGCAGCACTGTTTGGCTCTAATAAAAATTGGGAATGATCTAAATATTCTCCCTGTAGAGGAACGATGAAAGAAATTATGGCATCTTCTCCCTGTGAACTATTATGCAGCAAGTTAAGTAACTCTACATAGACAGATACAGAAAAAGCTTCAGGACATATTGTTATGTCAACAGGCAAGTTGTGGATCGGTCTTCTCTTTTATGCTCAAAATAATTATCACATATGGTGGACGAAAAAATAATCTCCCAAAAGACATCCATATCTTAATCCCTGGAACCTGTGACTGTTACCTTATTTGGAAAAAAGACTCTCTGCATATCTCAGTTAAGCATCTTGAGATGGGGAGCCTATCCTGGAGCCTATTATCCAAGCAGGCCCCCAGTGACATCGCATGTGTTCTTTTAAGAGGGAGGCAAAGAGATACACACAGAAAAGGAGGAGGACAATGGCCACAAATCAGAGTGATGGCGCATCAATCAGGCCGAAGAATGCCAGCGGCCTCCAGAAGCTGGACGAGTTCTCCCCTAGAGCCTCCACAGGGAGCATGGCTCTGCTGGCACCTGGATTTCACCTTTGTGAAACTGATACTGAACACATTTCTGTGTTTGAAGCCGTCAAGTCTGTGGATGTTGATTATGGCAGTCACAGGAAGTTAATACACCGTGACATATGTGCACATTTCAATGCAAAGAAAAGAAACAGACCTGGGAAGATGGTACATCCAGATTGTTGACTGCAGCTCCCCTCTGGGGAGGTGAAAAGATGTTCACATTTTGTTTGATTGTCTTAATATTATTTGGGTTTTTCACAGTGTTTATTTATGCATGTATTGTGTGTGTGTGTGTGTGTGTGTGTGTGTGTGTGTGTGTGTCTTTTAAATAGTAATAAAGACCAAATTAAAATATATCTAATCAGGACAAAATTTAGAATCTCACGTCAAAAGGATTATCAGTTAAAGACATCTTAGGGGGTGACAAGAATCATTTGTTTTATGGAAAAAAGGCTCATTTCCACTGGAGACATTCTGTGGAACCACGTAGAATGCCTCTCAGAATTGTCCCTCTGAATGATGGAGACTGGGCATTTATCCACTGACTTTTGTCCAATTTGGGCTGAGGGTTGTCACCAAAGGCCTTAACTTCCCGTGTGCCTCCCTGAAGAGCAGGCAAGGACGTCGAGAGTGAATCAGGCACTTGAGGTGGGAAGCTGGCAGTGTGCAAGGGGATTGTCCACTGTAGGGGGCAGCTGGAATCAGTCATCAGTCAGCCAAGAGGACCATAACATGGGGCACAAAAAGCATCTTCCATAGAGAGAAAGCTCCTGGAGCCCCAAGCAGGGAAGAACCCCAGAACTGGAGGAGCCCTTCTCACCAGCAGACATGCAGTGCCCTAGGCCAGGGAACGGTGTTTGTCCCTCTCTGAAAACCCCTCTTGTCTGAGGGCCCATTTCATACAGAGCTTCCTGTGTGACAGGCACTGTGATAGTCCCAAGACACAACAGCACATGAGCCAATGTCTCACTTGTGTGAATCAGTAGACTTTAAATGATCAAATATAGTAAAGAATGAAAGGGTGTGCTCAGGGAGGAGCAGCATATTATGGGAGCACATAGCTAAGGCATCCAACCCATTGAGAGGCCTCTGTGGAAGGCTTCCCAGGGAGGTAGTGTCTGAACTGAGACCTAAATAATGAGAATGGAGGGAGAGGAGTGTTCCAGGCAATGGAACAGCATGGGTAAAGTGTAGATAGAGAGGGTCTGGCACTGTCTAGGAAATGAAAGACATTCAGTGTGGCTCAACCACTCCAGGCACTTAGACCTTCTCCAAAGAGGCTTTGAAGGATGTGACCCAGTGTGTGGAGAGTGGATTGCAGAGGAGCAGAGCTGGAGGGAGAGACCAATTAAGTATCCTAGTAAAGAAGAGGGTGTCTGGGCCTAGGTAGACAGAGTGGCCATTGAGAACTGAACTGATTCAAGAGATGTTTAGGAGGGAACATTTGCAGGACTTGGATATAGGAGGCAGAGGCAAGGGTGGAGTGGAGATCAGGCCCACATTTCTGGCTTGGATATCTGGGTGGATGGTGCTACCTTTCAGCAGGTTGGAAACTGAAGGAGGGACATGTTTAGAGGTGGGGGAGATGGTGAGTAAATTATATAAAGTAGAGAACTTCTGGTTGACCTAGTGATCCCTTCCCCTCTCTCTGACTTCTAGAAATCTGTGGGAGGTGGGCCACCTCTCTTCCTGTTCCACGGCACTCTTTAAGGGTGGTGTCTTGGGGGTGCTAAGTGGTCAGCATACCTGGAGGAGGCATTCAGTTTCCACAAAGCTAGTGAATAGATCTTGTGAAAATGTACAGAGGGAGCAAAACTCTTGGACTTCCCAGAGCTGTTTGGGTACTGTGGCTCCTGACCATAGACATTGGTAAAAGTTGGTTGTTCTGTGGCCTGCCCTAGTCACTGCATTCTGTTAGGGCATGTTCCTTTCTTCTTAAAAGTGTGCCACCAAGGCCTGTTACTATGAACGTGGCTGCATAAACTGCATACTTGCCACTGTCTCCTGGAAACCATCTGAAAGCAACAAAGAGAATGGAAGACGAAATGAAAATTCCTTTTAAGGCTAACTCAGGAGACACCAGAATCCTTGGGAGCTGTGTAAAAAAGTGGTCAATTTCATGCAGAGCAGTGTTGGGAGACGTGAGAGAGGGGAGGAGAGAGCCCAGGGGTGGCAGATCCCAGAAAGCACCGATACAAATATAGCTGTGAAGCAAGGTCTCTATCTCGTCTTGTCTGCAAAAGAGGCTGTGAAGATGAGGGTGACTGTGGTTGCCCAGCAGTTCCACCTGGACCATTAAGATGAGAGAGGCAGAGGAGAGGACACATGAAGAACCATGCTCACAAGGCTGATTTGCAGGAAGCAGCCTGGCCGCGATTTCAACTTCACCTCAGGCCCGTCTATAGGAACCTCTTTCGATGGACTCATCCAACTTATAAGAAGAGTTTGGAGACACTGTAAGGAAAAAAGGAAACAATGAACAGCAAAGTTTATGAACAGATGAAGGTCAGTCACCCTGAAACAGGTGAAAATTTCGAGCAATCACTTCACTATGAATTTGTAAAGCTCAATGAAAAAAAAAATCCTCTCTGAAGGAACACTACAAAAGAGAAATGCAAGAACTCAAGAAAAAAATGGTAAGATAGCAGGAAGAGGTGAAATATGATCTGGGAAGAAATGGGGAAAACTAGAAATTAACTGGAATTAAGTAGAAATTAGAAAGTACTCAAGGAAGGGGCGCCTGGGTGGCTCAGTCAGTTGGGCATCCGACTTCGGCTCAGGTCATGGTCTCGTGGTTCGTGAGTTCCAGCCCCACATCAGGCTCTGTGCCGACAGCTCGGAGCCTGAAGCCTGCTTCGGATTCTCTGTCTCCCTCTCTCTCTGCTCCTCCCCTGCTCATGCTCTGTCTCTCACTCTCTCTCCTTCAAAAATAAATAAAAACATTAAAAAAAAGAGAAAGTACTCAAGGAGAAAACATAATAAGCCAGACAGAATATAGACATGAGAAACATGAACAAACTGAAATGAAAATAGTTAGAAAGGATTAGAAAAGATGGAAGGATCCACAAGACAGACAATGGAGATCCAACATATATGTAATTAAAGAGCCTGACGAAAAAAATAAAAATAAAATGGTGGAATGGAAATCATACTTCAAACTTAGTCTAAGAAAACTTTGGCGAAAAAAACTATTTAAATCTACCTTTTCTAACAAAGTGTATCACACCAAGAAAAACGGACCCAGGAAAGTCAACACCAAGATATATTCTAGTAACATCACTGGACCTCAAAGAAAACAAAAGATCACCTCACATCTGTCAGAATGGCTCTTGTCAAAAAGACAAGAGATAACAAATGCTGGGAGGATGTGGAGAAGAGGGAACCCTTCTGCACTGGTGATGGGATTGTAAATTGGTGCAACCACTGTGGAGAACAGAATGGAGGCTCCTCAAAAAGCCCAAAAAAATGGAACTATCAGACAATCCAGGCATCTCACTTGTGTGTATATATCTGAAGGAAATGAAATCAGTGTCTTGAAGAGATATCTCCTCTTCTATGCTCATTGCAGCATTATTCAGAATAATCAAGATAAGGAAACAACCTAAGTGTCCACTGACAGATGAATGGATAAAGAAAAAAAAATATATATAATATATATTATGTTTATATATTTTATATATTATATATTACATATACATACACACACACACATACACACATACACACACACACAACACAATATTATTCAGCCATAAAAAAAGAAGGAAATCCTGCCATTTGTGACAACATGAGTGGACCATGAGTATTATGCTAAGTGAAATAGACCAGACAGAGAAAGACAAATACTATATGGTATTTGTATGTGGAACCTAAAAATAAAATGTCAAACTCATAGAAACAGAGTGGAATGATGGTTGCCAGGGATGGGAGAGGGAGGAAATGGGGAGATGTTGGTCAAAGAATATAGAGACTTTCAGTTATAAGGTGGCTGAGTTCTGAGGACCTAATGTACAGCAGGTGACTGTAGTTAAGAATACCATATTGTACACTTCAGATTTGCAGAGAGTAGATCTTAAGCATTCTCAACACACGCACACAAAGGTGTGCTAAATAACTTGGCTGTGGTGATCATTTCATAATGTATATGTATATCAAAGTATACACTTTAAATATATACAGTTTTATTTGTTATACTTCAGTAAAGCTGGAAAAAATGTAGAGAAAAAGAAAATTCTTATGGCAACTAGGCAGGGTAAAACATCCATCTATTCAGTGGAGCAGGACCCACAAGCCATTCAGAGAAACTGTGACAAAATATTTTATTTCTAGTCAAGATTTCCTTCAGGTATGAATGCTATAGAAAAACGATTTTGAACATGAAGGAACTCAGAGAATTTTGTTCACATGCGCACTGCTTAAGAAAATTATGGAGTTTTGGCTTCAGCTAACCAAGAAATAATGAAAAACTAGGGCAAAGGGGAAGGGAGCATGCAAAGAATGTATTTCACTGAAGAGCTAAGACCTGAACACATATGAGTATTGGACTAGTGGGATAGAAGGTACAAGTTTTATATTCTAACAATTTAAAAATAATACAAATATACAAATTTGGAAGGGGGAATCCAAGAAAAGGTGGCAGAAAGAAAAAACATGCTGTTCATTAATAACAGCTGAGAACCAAGGGGTATCATTTAAAGCTGCCAGATGTAGTAGAAATGTAAGCATATTTAATTTTACAAAGACAAACATTAAAATAGATAATGCAAGTGATTAATATTGAATAACAACAGAGTGGTAGGGGACAGAGGAGAGGGCAGGTACTAATTTTATGGTTGTTCATACTAGGGATTCAGAGCTACTGTTCAAAGAGGTAGATGATTAAGGGCAAACGATCAACAAGGTAGGTGTATACCACAAAACAAAAGTAAAGGTAACTGAAAACCTACCGAAAGAATTCCAAATTAGAAGTACGAAAATATGCCATAAAAATCTATGACAAAACAAAGACTAAACATGTACAGCATATCAAGGAACATAAATGGCCCAAACCTACCTAGCGAAAGAACGCAGAGCTATTTTGGTGGAAGTGTGTGTGTATGGATGCATGTATGTGTCTATGTATATATGTGTACATATGTGGGGGTGGGGAGATACAGAGCACACAAAGTCCTCTCCTCAACCTTTAGCCTATGGTAGACCATGAAGAGGAGAGACATTCCAGATGGACTCCAGGTTTTGATAGCCCACATTTATGAGGAAGATCTTCTCTAGGCTTTGTCTCCCTGCCCTGTGTCCCTTGACTGGAGTGGGGA